GCTGGCTTCACGGGACGCTGCTGCACTGTCAACATGGACGACTGCTTCAGCCGTCCCTGCCTGAACTCTGGACGCTGCCTGGACCGCACTGGTGGATTCCACTGTGTCTGCACTCCGGGCTACACTGGGCCCACCTGTGAGACGTTGCTAAGGAACCAAGACGGATGGGAAGGAGGAGGAGGTGGGGTTAGTCATCACATGACCACCGAGAGCAGAAACTACGGGACGAAGGATAACCACAGTCGGTCTGATGAGCGGCTGTTTCGAGTGACGGTCAGCGAGCGCAGTGCTGCCGGGCTGTCGCAGATCCAGCTTACAGTAGTGTTGGCGTTGGCGGTGCTCACGCTCGCTGTTGTGGCACTGACTGCTGGGCTTGTGCTGCACACTCACTGCAGGAACTGTGGGTTTCCCCCCTGCTGGTCAACACGGACATCATCGTTATCTCCCGAACGGAAAAATGGGAGAGTGCAAAGGGGTGACCAGGAGCAACCAACCAGACTGTTAAATGGCCCTGAGGCAGAGAAGAAGAAACTGAACCTGGAAATTGTATAGCGAGGACAGCGATCACCTGACTGGGATTTAACCCACAATGCACCAGTGCTGGTGATATGTAAAGACAGAATGCACTCTGACTTCAAGACTTTAATGATGATGACAAGACTGTGGTGATGATGATCATCTGAACCAATCAAACTGACTATTGTTGTAAATAATAACTTGGGAATAATGTGCTGAACAACACGTTTTCGTGACTGTGATGACATCACATCCTGATCTGATGAAGTTTTTGTTAACACTGGAGACTCTTCAGTTAATTCCTACATCCATTTTTTATCCCAAGTGCAAAAAGTGGCGTTTTATATAAAACCTTGATACCTACTCTAGCATCCTTGATTTTTATATTTTCTAAACGTTCCTTCCATCACTGCTGTGACCTTTACTCTAAAACCCTGCCATCCGTCAACACACACTTTTTTTTCTATATCCTGCCTGTGTGGTAACTTCACTCTATTATATTCCCAATGACCTTTTAAAATATTTCATCATATTTTACACATACAGTACATCTTTCCTCCAGGTTCTTTTCATATCCCACATACAGCGATTCCATGCTAACATCCCACATCTTTCTCTCTCTTTCATACTGTACATCCTTCTCAGCAGGGACAGTGTCCTATTGTAAACACTTTTATTTTGACAAAAAAGACACCAAAGAAACATCCATTAAAACAGACTCTACAGTCAGACTCGGCTCTGCCCACCTCCTCTGACAAAACCCTTCACAAGTTGATTGCATTAGTACAGTATTTTACTAATAAATGCTAACCTACTTGTGTCCACCAGGAGGAGCTAGAGAATGAGGAGACCACAATGCAACATTGTCCCTAAGACACTCATGTATCGAGGTGGTACATCAAACTACGTGGCCGGTGCAGATAAAAAAACAATCAAAAGACAAAAGACAGCAAATGTCTATGTTTGAATTATATGAAAAGAAGTGTTTGTAGAAGGAGTCACATCTCAGTCTCACCCAATAAGCTGTCACCTAGACCTGATGTCAGCGTAAGCGTCTGAGGGGCAGAGTCTGTAGTCTGTGTAAGCGTCTGAGGGGCAGAGTCTGTAGAGTCAAAGAACGACAGGTTTAGAGACACATTCGTTTGTTATAACAGAATTTGTAAATAAATAAATAAATAAATCGACACACTCTGTGTCCAATTTATTTCCTAAAATTTATAACAGAATTTGTAAATAAATAAATAGACACACTCTGTGCCCAATTTATTTCCTAAAATTCACAGTTAGCTCAACTTAGTAAAAGACTGAAAACAACCTCACTTCTGTTTCCCATATCTCTGGAAAGACTGAAAACCTCACTTCTGTTTCCTATATCTATGCTACACAGCGTGCTCTTCTACCTGTTACCCATTTATATGCTTTTACTCTGCTCAGCTGGTCTCCTCTCTCTCTGCTAAGCTTAGATAGGTCCTAAATAACATCTTTTTTTGCAGTCTAGATGCTAAGCTAAGACAGCCTACTCCTCACAGCCACTTTCCTTTTTCCCAGTATAGCTAGGCTATAGCTTTTTATTAAGACAATGTAGCCTGAGCTGTTAGCCCTATTTTTTCTTTATCTTAGATGTCTCGCTATTGACACCCTGCCCCACCTATTTATTTCTTTTTATAGCCTTTGCTAAACCCACCTGACCTTCTCTCTAGTCCAGTGTAAATGCTAACGTTAGCTTGTCTTAGCTTTGCTTGTCTCCCCCCAGCACAGCTCACTTTTGGGCCTCTCACTATTTTAAGTCTTTACTGTTGATAGACTATCAAGCCAGCGTTCCAACTTTTCCTGTTCTGACTCTGTGTGCCAGAGTCCCTCCTTGTTTTAATGCTAAGCTAATCTGGCCTTATTTTGATTGTTTTTGGTATTTGTGAGAGCTCTTCTACCTTTGTCATGTCGTAATGCTAATATAAGCTAGCCTGATCTTCTCCCTACATGGAATTTATGCTCAGCCAACAAAGCCTGTTTTCTTATTCTGTTAACAAAGCAGAAATATTTCACAGGACAGACATCAGGGGAGACTAGACAGACAAAAAGAGAGACTCTTCAGAGGACAGATTTTTAGATAACAAAGACAACTCTTTGGAGGACTTAACAGAATTGTTTTAGAGGACAGACGTCTGTGTACAGTCATTGAAAGACAGACTTCAGGGAGAAAGACTTGAGAGGGACAGTCTTTAGAGGACAGGCTTTAACAGCGTGGACAGGACAGACAACAGTGTTCAGCCCTTACTGCTGTGGGGTAGCCAGATAGGGGGCTGGTACTTGTCTCTGATTGGTTGGTACTTGTCTCTGATTGGGAGCAAGATACTGTTGCGGTTAGGGCCAGTGTTGATGGGTGAGGTTTCTCTGTCGTCATCGTCCCCTTCAGACAGCAGGTCACAGATCTGCTGCTGAAGTTCAGGACTGATGTTGTTCTCCGTCAGAACTAGAACCCGCAAACTAGTTGGGTAGTTCTGCACCATATCCAAGAACACCTGCAGAAGACAGAAGCCGCTGATTGTGACACACACACACATCGGAAACAAGAAAGGCACGGCAACAGAGGACAAACTCCATTAGTTCACCTGCGCAGAATGATTCGTTAACCCAGTTCCCTCAAGGTCCAGTACTTCCAAGGTTCTACTTGATGCCACAGCAACTGCAAGCATCCCAGCAATTTGGTCACCTGAAGACAAAAGCACAGCCACCATCAACACTAAGAAAAAAATAAAAAAGTAAAGGTAAAGATTATGAGTCGAGGTGAAAATAAAATGTCAATTTAATATCAGTCATAATTGAGATAAAGTAAAAAAAAATAAAGGTTTAAAATAATGCAATGAAAATAAATAGGTTGTTTTTTATTTAAAAATCTATATATAAAAAATGTCAAATCAGGAGATAAACGGACATAATTACGAGACACAATAGTTTTTATTGTTTTTATTGCAGATCACCTCTAAGAGTATTTCTTCCAACTGTTAACCTCTAGAGGGAGCTCCTTACCCAGTGGGTTGTAGTCCAGGTTCAGCACTCGGAGCTGTGAACTGTGAGCCACAGCGATGCTGAGTCTGGACCAGCCTTTGAAGCTGATTCCTGGGTTAGCACTTAGCGTGAGCTCCCGGAGTCCTGCACATGTAAATGGTACAAAAAAAATGTTGTTAACTTAGTAAAAAAGTTCCAACATCAAATAAACTCCAGCTTCGACTCAAAACCCCAACAACATGCAGGATAAGGTACAACGGATGCTCTGATTGGACCGTAAGTGTGCACATGACTATGGATAGTTGTTGCAGTCCACCTCACCTCACCTGAGAGAAATGACAGAATGAATAACGGTTTACCTGACTTTGCACCATCGGGGGGCAGCATCCCACAAATCAGAGCCAGTGCTTCATCTCCCAACATGCAATCTCCTAGATCCAAGCAGACCAGTCCGGGGTGTGTTGTCAGTGCAGTATTCAGAGTCACCAAACCAGCATCCAGCAGGGGACAGCCATGGAGACTGGAGTCAAGGAAAGATGAGGTCAAATCCCAGAAAAGGCTGAACTCAGAGGTTGACACACTCTCTGCTCCAGGTTCTACTTACAACAGGGTTTGCAGGGAGCGGTTGTTCTTTAGTGCTTCTGCCAACTGCCGCGTTCGACTGATGCTACAAACGACACCCAGGTTCAGGTTGAGCTGGGCCAGTGATCGGGACTCAGAGACACTGCGGCAGATGCGTGCGAAGTCCCGGTCGGACAGCTGGCAGCCACGGACAGACAGCAGTCGTACGCTGTCCTCCTTCAGACTCTCACAGATGTCCTGGACCTCTGCTGCTGAGAGCAGTTCACCGGTGATTTGAATGGAGGCGGGGAGCATCTTGGAGCCACCTGGAACAACGGGACACCAGGAGCAGAGGGAGCACCTGGAGAAACGGGATAAAATAAGAGACCAGGACCAGAGCAAGGGCAACACTGAGTAAGAAACAAGCACCAAAAATGGGAGATAAACAGGAGGATAACTGGGAGTGCTGGTTTGATGAGATACTAAATACCTTAGACTGTCAGAAGAACGGGGAGCAGCAATAAAAATGCTGAGTAAACTTGAGACCTGGAACACTGGGACGCTGTGAATGCTGAGTAAACTTGAGACCTGGAACGCTGTAAATGCTGAACAATAGGAGCACTGAACCATGTGGAGTACCAGCAGTAGTGGGATGCAGGAAGCACTGGGAACCTAGAGTACCAGGGAAAAACAGGATTAGTGGAGAAAACCATGAAACATGGAAGACTGGAAAAGTTAGTGGAGAAAACCATGAAACATGGAAAAAATCTGACATCTAGTGGTGGAAACAGGGAATTGAACCAGGTTTGTTTGGAAAGATAATTGATGAACTTGTGCCAAAAATAAACCTACAAATAACAGCTCGTTGTCGCAGGAAATATAAGGTGTTTTTTTTATTACCCGCCAGTGCGTCATCAACAATTCCAGCTCCGGCAACTTGACCACTAATATAACAGAGTTACTCAATTACGAGTGAACAGTTAGGCGGTCAAATTAAATCGTGTTTATACATTTAGTTTAAGTAAATACTCAAAGTGTTGTTACACAATAATTGGTCATTAAAACCACTGACTACTCACATATCGATAAACATTGGCAGACCTGATAATTAATCGATCAGCTCACGCGCGGACCATTGGTGTCGGAGGATGACGTCATCACCCACTGCTCCCGTGCCTCTGATCCAGCCGCAGGCCACACACCGTTTCAGTTACGGTGAGAACAGAAATGATATCCTGTCACTATGTTACTGATTATCCAGAAAAGCGATGCGACGAGGGCAGTGAAAACGTCCTAAGTCCTGGTCCCAGTCCAGGACCCTGATCCGGTGTGTTTCTGCAGGTGACCGTTACTATGAGAACCGGAGATTGTTAAAACAGACAGGAGGTTTAACTCTGTGAAGGATTAATCTCGACAAAAACAGCAGCAACATTTGTGACGTCGTTAGTCGCGGCGATTAATACTATGACGTATTAATGGCATACTACCACGGGTTGAAAGAAGATAAACATAAAAAATAAAAACATGATATTATATGGGAGCATTTATATTTGTAATGAGTAGGTAATATTTGGTATACTATTAACACCACAAAGTCACAATATAACAATACAATAAAATACGAATGCATTTTAATGTATGTGCACAGTATATAAAATAAAATGTTTTCAAATCATTTAACGCACCAGAGTGACACCTCTGTTTCCACAGGAAATCTTATCTCGTGTGACATCACCACACGACGGACAAACGTCTCGTATTCCACGTCGCGTAGGAACATCACGTAGAGAGAAAAAAAAATAAAAATACGGAGAAATAAGGATATTTATATTATGTTATCAGCCGCTAATGTTAATTGTTTGTCAGAAACAATGTTAGAAATTAAATCTGAATATATATATATAACGATGTATATAAATAATATGTATATTACAGTATGTTTATACACATTCATTTACGTAAACAAATTTTTTATTTTAGGTTTATTTAATTATAATAATTTCTTTATTTTTTATTTATTAAATATATGTATAAATATACGAAATATATCTTAAAATATTGCTTGTTCTATGTAATCGAATGCAATTCATTCAGTCTTTTGAAAATTTTAACTATCAATACATTGTACGTTAAATACTTTTTATTACAAAACCTAACATCTTAATCTTTTAAAAAAATATTTATTTATATTTAAAGGCTCGAGCTAAAACAAATTACTTGGGGGTATTGCATTTCCGCGTCATACCCGGAAGTCTTTGGACACTAGCTACAACTAGCTGCAAAATAACAGTGAACAATTTACAACATAAGTTTCAGGTAGAGTGACGCAGGGGGACCGAGGCACAGGTGAGTGCGTAAAGGCATCAATTTAATGCTTATTCAGTGCGTTTACGACAAAACCCGGTCTGTCGGCAGTTAGCACTTAGCTTTCAAGTGCTAGCATTTATTTCGCAGGTGATTCTATTCCCTTTTTTTATGTATCGCACAAGAACATGTGTCATCCCGAGAAAGGAGCACACAGGATCAGGTGACTCCTGATCAGGAGTGTTTGGAGCCGAGATTGATCTCTCTGGATAATTAGCTCTTTGTGACCTATGAACTGTGTCACAAATGTATTTCTCTATCATGTGATCTAACAGGTCCGACAGCAGGTCTTGGTTTACACCTGGTCATTGTGTTGAGCGAATCCAGATCACATTTTAGTGAGGTAGGCCTCTGTAGACCAGAACTTGGATTTAGATTTTGTAGATCAGATCAGATCTGGTTCTTCATGTCCGTTAGGACCAGGTCTCTGTTGAGTCCTTCATTAGAGTGTAATTGTCTGTAGAGACCAAGACCAGGTAACTGTCTGAACTAGGTCATCTTTTGCATCTACGGCCCAGACAGGAATGAATCAGAATTACTGAAATACGAGACATATGATTAATTTATTAAGCTATGTTGAGAATCTTAAGTTTGGGTGAAACTTATATTGTTCCCCCCCTTCAGGCTCTGTGTGTCTGTGGATGGAAGTGTGCAGTGCCACCATGGGACCAGAGAGAGTG